CTTCGACACCAGGATCACATCTTGCCAGAAGCCCCGCGGGAATGGCGTCGGCCTCGGCCTCGAGGTGCGTGCCGTCTCTGGCGCCAGCTGGCCGATGGCGAAGCGCAGCGTCGCCACGAGCGGGCACACGAACGGGGTCTCCTCCTCCTCCTCCTCCTCCTCCTCCTCCTCCTCCTCCTCCTCCTCCTCCTCCTCCCCCTCCCCCTCCTCCACCTCCCCCCCCCCCTCCTCCCCTCCCCGCCCTTTCCAGTCCACCTTCTCGCCGAGCTGCGCCTGAGCCTCCATGTGCTTGGACATCTTGTCGTAGTCCCCGCTCGCGGCCACCACGACCACGCCGACACCCTGGGGGTTCGACGCCTCGCACACCGAGCCTTCGAGCGCGGCGATGGCGCGCCAGTTGCTGGGGGTCGGGCGGACGTTGGCCGCCGGTGTGGTCGGGCCTCCGCCGCCTCCTCCTGGTGGTGGGCTGCCGTCCTGCTGCTTGTCAATCTTCGCCGCCGATTCTTGGCCCTCGATGTGCCTCTTCATCCACGTCGGCATCCCGATGTCGGTGTGCGCCGCCGCGGCTGCCGCTGCCGCTGGGCCCTCGGGCATCGTGTGTGCGAACTGCGTGCCGAGAGGGGCCTCGAGCGACCCGATGCCGATGCTGTCCGCGTAGATCGAAGATAGTCTGAGCGCGTGAGATGCACTGGCCAAGGAAGATGAACCAAAGCATGGCTACTGAGATCTTCAGCGCTTCGCCCAGAGAAGTGACGTAGACCACATTTGCAACTCTTGGGCTCCGTGAAGGGGACCAGTGACCGAGGGCCGAAACCACCACAATAGCCTCGCTGAAGTGCTGCCTGCAAGTGACATGCTGCCATTATCTGATTCCTGAAGATTTTTGAGCATACAGGGCATTCATTAGAGGTCCCTAACACGTTGCTGAGGTGCCGAACATGGTGCCTGTGGCGTAGATGTTCCATGAGGCCCTTCTGGGTTGCGAACCTACATGAGCAGGGGATGTGCATGCCATCTTCTGATTGCACTGTCGCCGTACAAGCATATGGTAGGGCTAGACATTCGTGGGGCTCAGGATCCTCTTCGTGCTGCTGTCCCGCTCCTCCCCCTCCAAGACACATAACTAACTTGATAACTGCGAACCCGACGAAAATCCAGTGCAGCAAACTCCCTCATGTCCTCCTCTTCCTCCTCCTCCAACAGAAGCCAGGGGCAATCCGCTATCCTCCCTGGGAGGTCTTCAGCGTCAGGGCAGGCCGCGATGGCCTCCCTGACGTCATTCCCAACCCTCTGAGCCCATGGAGAAGCAAATTCAGTGAGTCCCGTAGCTGAGCACGGCCACTGATCAGGATGCTCGAACTTCATGCCCCCCCCCCCCCCCGAAGAGAGCCACGAGTACCTGGACATGGGAGTTCTGGTTCCGAGCCCAACTTTGATACCAGTGAAGACGGCCTGCCAGCAGTTCAGAGTAACAATCTGTAATACCCCAATAATCTAGTACTTCCCGAGCTGCTAAAGTCCGAGCATGATCGTCATCGTCCTGTGCCTGTGTACATGCTGCGCCCATCATTGCCGTGCGTCCTAGTCGTGCCAAGTGTCGGTCCAGGAGGGCGTGCTGCTTATCTGAGAGTATGAAAGGTTCCAATCCAGACAACAGCGAGCCTTGCACAAGACTGATGAAGATGACGCTCTTCCAGGCCTTCGGGCTTTCCATGGACCAGAAGGCGCCCATGCTGTAGAAGCCAGCGGACGCAGCATTCATTCGACGTTCAGGCTCAGGGGATGCCAGCTGCAAGGGTGTGATCATCGGACCGAGATATCGTGCAACATCCGAGACCTGCCCCGCAAGACGACCCCCTTCGATACCATGAGAACGCATATACTTCTTGCACTTTGCTGAACCAGGGCCTGCGATATAAAACTGCGTCACCTGCTTGGTTTTGTTCTGAATGTATCCTGTAGTGGCTAGAGAAGCATCGAGAAGATCATCTACTTAGTTGAGAGAGTCGAACACCTCCTCCGTCCCCTCCCCGGTACATAATGGAATCAGCCTAAGTAAATCATCCGCATATTTCTGATAAGACATATCCACCTTCACCCCACACCATAATGTTTCAAGCAAGCTAGTACTAGGGATCTCCTCACGAACTTTCTGTGCCCACTCCGAGACTGGGTTGACGAAGGCCCCCGCGAACCCCTGAACGTTGAAGGGGTCCCCCTATCACTCCTCCGCAGCCTGTCTTCATCAGCAACGGGCCAGTCGAGGTATCAACCTCCACGACCGAGAGCCGATATCTTTGCCGACAGAGGACTCGGTCTTCGGGGGCGGAGTGTTCCTGAATAACATTGTCCAGTGCACTAGTCCGTACTTTCGAAAGCGTTCGAGAGATCTTTCATAGTTCTGGCATAACTCCAGCCGGCTTGCCTCAACCTAAACCCCATGGCCAAGACGCTCATCGAGGAGGAGGAGGAGGAGGAGGAGGAGGTCGGGATGGGTCGGGCAAGATCAGGAAATCGGAAGAGAAACACCGCCATGATCAGAAACTCTTGGCGCTCCGCGCGGGTTTCTCGGATCTGCGCTGGAGTCCCCTGGCAGCGCCTCCGGCGGCGCCGCCCCTGGCGCGCTCCGCGCGCCAGGGAGGGGGTTCTAGCAAAAGTTGATGTTCATTCAGTTTTTTGTTCCTCTAGGACAAGGTAAGTTCGGACCGAGGTATAAGATCGAGGTCGGCTCGGGGAGAGTACCCTAATGAGGGTACCCGCGAATCCCCTTCCGCTTGGCCGGCGGAGGGTCTCATGTGCTTGAAGAAAACTCTTCTGTCCTGGGTCCGACCCTTCGGGCTGCGTAGAGACGGCCCCACCCCCCAAGGAGTCCTGGCTGGCCTCAACTAGGGGAACGAAAAATGTTATAAACAGAAAAACTCGGAGGACCGCGCGGATTTCTCGGATCGGCGCTGGGGCCCCCCGGCGGCGCCTCCGGCGCCGCCCCTGGCGCGCTCCGCGCGCCAGGGAAGGGTGGTCCAGCGCCGTTCCGAGAAATCCGCGCGAACCTCCGAGTTTTTATGCTTATCTCATGTCGTGCTCCCCTATAAACAAAGCACCCCCCGAGGAGTCCCAGCTGGCCAACAGGTAGCGCAGGGCGGCCTCAACACCTTGGCGCCGCCTCCGGCGGCCCCCCTTAGGCGCTCCGCGCCCCGGCGTTGAGGCGCTGAGGCCGCCCCGGACGAGGCCGGCTGGGAGGGCCTTCGGGCCCCGCCCGCGCTGGCTCCGCTCGGCGGCCGCCGTGGGAGCGGGGCGGGTGGGGTGGGTGAAGCTCTCCTCGTCGTCCTCCTCCTTCTTCCTCCTCCTCCTCCTCCTCCTCCTCTCCTCCTCCTCCTCATTCTCCTCCTCCTCCTCCTCCTCCTCCTTCTTCCTCCTCCTCCTCCTCCTCCTCCTCCTCCTTCCTCCTCCTCCCCCCTCCGTCGAGGGTCTTGGGTCGAGTCGGGCGGAGGGGCGCGGGACTGCTGGGAGAGCGCGGGGAGGAGGAGGAGGAGGAGGAGGAGGAGGAGGAGGAGGAGGAGGAGCAGTAGCAGGAGGAGGAGGAGGGCCGGTGACGTTCGCCGGAAGTCTGCAGCGTGCCGCCGGTCTCGGGCCCGCCGCCGGGCGCGCGCTTCTCGGTGCGGCGGCCGGCTCGGGATTCGGGCGGTGGCGAAGCGTCCTGGCCTGCCTGTCGTTGGGTCGGGCCTCTCCCTCTTCGGGGGCGGAAAAGAGGGGGGTGATGACTAGGGGGGGGATATCATGGCGTGGGCCATGATATCTCCCCAGATTTCATGGTGCCTCTTCCTGTTTCACTACGTCCCTGCCCCCCCCCCCGCTGGGCCGCGCACATGCCGCCGGTCATGATTTGCACCCCCCCTTTTGGACATCCCCCTCTTGGCCGCTCCCGACCTCTACGTGGGGAAATTCACAAATGGTCAAAAAATAGTCTGGGGACGATTTGTTCTACTATGTTGGACTATTTGGGGTGATTTTAAGCATTTTTACTTTCTCGTCCAGACTCCGCCTGTAGGGGGACATGCCCGACCTAAGCCTACTGGCCCACCAAAGAAGGTTCTAGGGACCTCTTGTGGTTCGCGCGGGATCTTCTCGGAGCATTTCTGGCCGAGACCGTCTTGTTTTAATGCATCGGGCTCGTGTTCTGAGAACATTGCTGTTGTTCTTGGAACCAGTTGGGGTTCTAAGAACACTTTGTAGCAGGCCTGGAGGAGTGCTGGGACGGTCGGTCCCTGCTCAACGGGAGGCGCTGAGATACAGGAGCTGACTCGCTGAGCCCCTCATAGCTGTCCCCCCCTCTCGGCCGACCCGAGAAAGAAGGGGGAAACGGGGAGAATCGTAGAAGAAACAACTACATAAGCATAAACTTTTGGCGCTCCGCGCAGGTTTCTTGGATCGGCGCTTGAATTGGTGCAGAGCTAGGGAATGGGACTGAGAGGGGGCGATCACGAGGAAAAGGAGGATGGAGGAGGGGTGAGAGAGGAGGGAGGGATTCGCGTCGCGGCGCGCTCTGTTGTACCTGGGGTGCGTTCGGGGCCGAAAGCACTCCCTCCGGGCCAGTCGGAGACAGCATGCACGTGAAGGACGCAGTCTCGAAGGAATGCGACGCGCTGGAGATGGCAGACATGAGAAGGAGGACGAGGAGGGGGACGAGGAGGGGGAGGAGGAGGAGGAGGAGGCGGAGGAGGAGGAGGAGGAAGAGGAGGAAGGAGGAGGAGGAGAGGAGGAGGAGGAGGAGGGATGGGAGGAGGAGGAGGAGGAGGAGGAGGAGGAGGAGGAGGAGGAGGAGGAGGAGGAGGAGGGGGAGGAGGAGGGAGGAGGAGGGGGAGACACAAGTAACAGTTGTGGTCGTAGTCAGAGGCGGAGGAGGGTGAGGAGGACGAGGGCGAGGAGGAAAAGGAGGAGGCCCAGGGGAGCTTGCACCTCCCCCTTTGCACTGGCACGGCGGCCGCGGGCCGCCCTGGCAGGCCATGGGCTCGCCCAGCCCCGCGGATGCGGTGGACCTCGAGGCGCGTGCGCGCGCGCTCGCTGCTTTCTCACTCCACGGCTTCGGAAACGCCCAGCGACCAGTGCATGGGGAGCTGGGCGTCGCTGCTTGCGTCGAGGGGCTGCTGGTCTCAGAAGAGAGAGAGAGAGAGAGAGAGAGAGAGAGAGAAAAAAAAAGAGAGAGAGAGAGAGAGGAGAGAGAGCTGCGTCAACATACGTGCTCGTAGCTCCGTGCGGGTCTCGGGAAGCGGCGCCGGAGCCCCCAAGGTTGCGCCTCCGGCGCCACCCACCGGCGCGCTCTCCGCGCGCCGGCGAGGAGGGTCCAACGCCGGGCCCAAGACTTGGCATCGCTCGGACGTGTGCATTTTTTCTCGGCGAGGACCATCGAGGACCATCCTGGACCATCGAGAAACAAATCACGCACGAAACCGACAAAATGCACGGGAGATGGACGTCCAAGCGATGGCGAGAAGAAGTCCGCGCGGACCTCCGAAAGTGTTTTTTGTGTGTGCGTGTGTTTTCTATGGGGTGGCACGTCCGTTATAAAGGGGCACGCCGTCCCATTCCCAGAGATAGCTGGAGTTCAACCCAGCAGAGGGGCGGGAGAAACGGCGAGAGCAGAGGGCTCGAACCGGCCAGACTTTCCGCCAGGTTACTACTCGTGTGTTGCTGATTGCCTTCCCTGCCTTCTTTATTATTCTCCCTCCAATGGCGACTTGAGACGCGCGTACGTCTTGTGACAGGGTGAGTTCCTGGAGTCATCTCTCGTTGTGGACTCGAGTTGCGTTTCGCATGGGAGTTAGGATCTACTTGAGTCCTATACCTCGCCTCAACGCCGAGCGGGGGAGGAGATATTCTCAACGCTTCGCATGACCCCACCAGCCTAACCAGAAACGATACTCAAACGAGTTGCTCTCATCAGGGTTGTGGAGGAGAACGCATTGGCATCAAGAGTCTGGTATGACGTCGTACTCAAAGAGGGGAAGGATGGAGGAGAAGTCGGAGGAGGAGGAGGAGGAGGAGCAAGAGGAGGAGCAAGAGGAGGATGAGAAGTAGGGAGAGGGGGAGGGGGAGGAGGGACGAGGAAAGAGGAGAAACAAGCGGATGAGGAGGAGGAGGAGGATGAGGAGGAGGAGGATGAGGAGGAGGAGGAGGAGGAGGAGGAGGCCGAGTAGAAAGGCCAGAGGCCTCTTGGACGCCTCTCGGAGTCTCCTCGGATTGCTTTCGAGAGTTTCTGGGAGTCCTCTTGGGGCGTCTTGTGGGTCTTGTTGGCAGTCCCGGGGTCCCTTGGGGCCTCTCGGGTGCCCCTGGGGGGTCCCTTGGGGCCTTTTGAGGGCCTCTCGGGAGCCCCTCGGGGGCACCTCGGGAGCATCGTGGGGGCCCCATGGGGCCTCCTGGGCCACCCCGTGGGGCCGTCCTGTGGCACCCTTGGGAGCCTGGGGGGCAACCTTGGAGGAGATCGATCCAAGGAGAGGGGGGGATCCTTACTTTAGGGTTCCCCCCCCCCGTGAGGCCAACATGGGAGCGCAAGCCTGCGACGAGGGAGGCGCCGGCCAGCAAGGGCGCGGGCCTGGGGCTTGACTTGCGCCAGGGACCCACGGGTGCGAGGCGCAGGCCAGCAAGGGCACGGGCCAGGGCTTGGCTTCCTTAGGGATCCCCCCCCCCATGAGGCCAACATGTGGCCCAGACTTCCGCGCAGAATCGCAGATGGTGGCCGTCTCGACGATGCCTCTTGGGGCGTCTCGGGTGCCCCTGGAGGGCCTCTTGGGGGTGTCTGGGAGGTCGCTTCGGAGCCTCTTGGGGGCATTTGGGGGGCCTCTGGGGGGCCTCCTGGCGCCTCCTGGGCACCTCTGGGGGCCATCTTGGAGCACCTTTGGGAGCCTTGGAGGCCATCCGTGGGACATCATCGAGGAGATCGATCCAAGGAGGGGCGCTCCCCACTTAGGGTCCCCCCCAGGAGATCAACATGTTGGCCAACATCTCTGACCCAAAAAAGTCTGTGACACCTCGCCCCCCCGCCCTAAGTCCTGGAGGAAGGAGTAGGAACAGTGATCAAGCTTCCCACCCGCCCGCAAGCCGTCTTGCTCACTCTCACCCGCCCTCCCGAAACATGTGTCAGCATATCGCGTAAGAACGCCGCAGACGCCACGGGTTCCAGATGCACCAGACCCTGGAGGCCCAAGCGTGCCAGGTGCGGCACGTGCTCCACGTGCGCCCAGTGTTCCACGTGTTCCAGCCGCGCCAGGTGCGCCAGCCACTAGGAGCCAATATGGGGCTCCACCTGCGCGCGCCGCAACTGCTGCCACGCCAGCGATTGCGCACGCCCCGGCGCACTCTGGTGGCTGCTGGCCACCGCGTGCGCCCACCCCCCGCGCGCGCCCCCCCTTCCCCCCCCCATCCACGCATGAGAAGCAAACGTGCGAGAAGGCGCGTGGCCTGACACACCAACGAACTTGTGTGCACCGAGCCGTCCTCGTCGAAACGCAGTGCACAGTGCACGCCAGGGCATCCACTCTCCCGCCGCGCTGGTTGTATGTTCGCCTGCGACCGAGAAGCTCCGCGGTTCCACGCGTCGCGCGCGGCCAGGCGACGCGCCCATGGCAGAGGCTTCGAAATCCCATCGGAAACGGTAAGGCGAAAAGGCAGCAGCTACTGATGTGTCAAACCAATTGGTTGACCACCTGCGCCCAGAAGGCAGGTGGGATCTGCTGGCACCCCAGCCGCCCCTGTAAAATACCAATGCAGAATGGTCGCGGGGCGGCCGCGCATGCTCCAAATGTGGAGGCAGAGTGCGTTCTGTATTGTGTTTTGGCAGGGATGGTGGGTGGGGTGGCCCTCATGGGGTTGTCATGGTTCGGGGTTGGCCGCCGGCCGGGTGGGGGAGGGCGTGTTCATTTATAGGGAGCAGTGATCCAGCTACCCTTCTGGATAGCCAGCCGTTTGGCTTACCCCCCGCGCCCCCAACACATGAGTAACACCCGAGTGTCAACATATCGCTTAGGAGCGCCGCACATGCCATGCGCGCCACGGGTTCCAGGTGCATCAGATTTTTGGAGGCCGAAGCGTGCCAGGCGCGCCAGGTGTGGCACGTGCTCCACGTGCGCCAACTGTGCCACGTGTTCCACCCGCGCCAGGTGCGCCAGCCACGGGGAACCAACAGGGAACCCAGGCGCCTGGGACCCCGGCCCCAAAGACTGCAGAATCTTGAGTCCCCCGAAATCGAATTGTCGAGCATTCTGAGAAGGGCGGCTCCGGGGAACGCATAGCAGCGGCACCGATAGTGAGAATTAGACGCCTGGAGGAGCCGTGGAGTGCAAGAGAGCTCGGAGAAAAGAGCGCTGCCCCGGAAGAGTACAAAGAGGATGTCGCCAGCACGGCGCAGCTGGAGAAACAGGAGCCCACGCCCGCTGGACTAGGGCGAAGAGAACTATGCACATGCACCGTTCCTGGTAAGGCCCATCCTTGACCCAGGATCGGTGCATATGCCTTCCTGGCCAAGGTAGGAGGGCGTATGCACCGATCCTGGGCTCAGGATGGGCCTGGCCAGAATCGGTGTATGTGCATAGTTCTTTTTCCTCTGTGGACACAGTGTGTCGCCACACCATCCCACTCACAAAGCATGAGCAAGTAAATGGCTCATGCTCCCCCGCCATCTTTGTCTTCGCGGGGCGCCTGCGCGGGCTCCGGACTGTGAGGGAGAGCGTGCGTTTGTATTGTTCATGGGCAGGGACGGCTGGACTGCGCGCTGCAAGCAATGCGTCGACACCCCCGCCGTCCCTCTCAAAAGCCATCGCAAAGTGGTCGCGGGGCGCCCGCGCATGCGCCGGCAAAGTGCAGTTCGTAGTTTTGTTTTTACATGGGATGTTGGGGGGGGCTCGTTCTCCTTGTTGGCTTCTGGTCGCCTGGGGAAGGGCGAATTTACCAATATTGCAAAAAGGGTTTGCTATGCCGCTGCTGGCAGAAAACCGGGAGAGGCCACTGGGGGGGTCCAACATGTCCCCCCCCCTCGGAAACCCGGGGGGAGGCCACTGGGGGTTCCAAACCTGTCCCCCCCCCCTCCCCGGTCCATCGTGAAAAAGGGGGGGTCACTACAGGTTCGAGCCCCCCCCCCTCTTCTTCACCGCCGGCAAACGACTCCCCCTCCTCCCCCATTCCGGATGGGGGGGGGACTGTTGGGGACAGTGGTTGGGACGGTGGAGGGGATGGTGGTGGGGAGCGGGGACACTGGGACAGTGGCGGGGGCAGTGGGACAGAGGGGAGAGCGGGACCGTGGTGGGGACAGGGGTGGGGACAGTGGGGACAGTGCAACAGTGGTGGGGGCATTGGTGGGGACAGTGGTGGGAACAGTGGGGACAATGGGACACTGGTGAAGACAGTGGGACAATGGTGGGGCCGGTGGTGGTGGGAACACTGGCGAGGGGACATTGGGACAGTGGTGGGGACAGTGGGAACAGTGGGACAGTGGTGGTGACGGTGGTGGTGGGGTCAGTGAGTGGTGAGGGTGGTGGTGAGGACGGCTGTGGAACAACGGGGCAGTGGTACAATGGGGACAGCGGTGGCCCCGGGGACAGTGGGACAATAGTGGGCACAGTGGGACAGCGGTGGGCACAGTGGGACAGTGGTGCAGACAGTGGGGACAGTGGGACAGTAGTGGGGACTGGGGCCAGTGGGGAGAGTGGGACCGTGGTGGGGGGACAGTGGTGGGGACAGTGGGGACAGTGCGATAGTGGTGGAGGCACTGGTGGGGACAGTGGTAGGGACGGTGGGAACAGTGAGACGGTGGTGAGGACGGCGGTGGTGAGGACGTGGTGGGGGCCCGGGAGTCCTTTGCCAGCGGCGCGCGGTGTGTGTGTGTGTGTGTGTGTCTGTGTCTGTGTCTGTGTCTGTGTCTGTGTCTGTGTCTGTGTCTGTGTCTGTGTCTGTGTCTGTGTCTGTGTCTGTGTGTCTGTGTCTGTGTCTGTGTCTGTGTCTGTGTCTGTGTCTGTGTCTGTGTCTGTGTCTGTGTCTGTGTCTGTGTCTGTGT